TTTAAAAGTCAATGCGGCCCCCGAGCCAAAAAGTTTGCCCACCCCTGATCTAGTAGAAAGTTAAGATGGCGGGCTTGGCTGTGCAACCAGAATTTCACATTTTTTTAATGTATCACCCCCCATCCTTTTCTCTTTGCTAATTGCTAATGAATACGGCTTTGCTTTGGCAGCATTTAGCCATCGAATGTCATTGGTCCCAAAGAGCCGCAGCGATTGGAGATGTCATTCAAGTCTATAGCGGGAGTCACGGACGAACCATAATATTTTGTGAGACAAAAAAAGAAGCAACTGAACTGGCTCTTAATGCCTCAATAAAACAGGTAGAGTGGCACAAAAGTGTGAAAAAGAATAAATATAATAGAACACAAGAGAGTGAACTTATTCAGATATGGAATATTCATTAGAGCAATTTGTTTATCAATTTGAGCAAATTCACAACCTGATTGGTCCTCTCTTTTTCTTTTTTAAATTTTTAGTATAAGATTACTTAGTTACGATCGATAACTGCAATAACTCTTGAACCCTCAAAAGTTTCTGAACACAATTTTCCGTGCTTATGTGGCATTCTTTACTTTTCTGCTGTTGAGAGTTGATTTCTCCCCCTTGAAGCTTTATCTTTTTTCCAAAGGATAGTTTTAATACCAATCCCAATTTCCATTTATATATAGTTTTTGTTCAGTTTGTGACCTAATATAATTGAAAAGAAAACATGATGTATAGAGTTCCAGTAAAATGAAGTTTGTGAGAGTTTCCCATATTGTATTTATTTCCTCTTTATTTTAATATACCTCAGTTGTTCTTAAAGTTTCTAACCATTACTTTCTGATTTTCTAAATGTCCTAAATGTTTTTTGGGGGGGATTTCACCAAGTGGATATACAATTGCTTTTATGGTGTTCTGTGGTGGCAGCCATAGACATTAGAGTAAAATTATTTGCAGATATTTGAGAGGTGTAGGGGTCAGGATCTGTAGTCTGTCACTGTTAGCAGTAGCAGTAGAGGAGAGAACGAGCAGATGAGGCATAAGCAGGTATCATTCAAAAGGAGACCAAGTCAAAGGGAAAGGAAGTTTAGCTCTGCAATGAATAGGATCCTGGAGATTAGTTGAAAGAAAATATGGGAACTTCTCGTGAGCCTTTTCTAATTCTAAGATGTGGTATTATGATGTGCAGTGTTTTTGTCTTGAGGAAGTTTAGCCTTCAAAATATTTGGAGTACCCTCTAATATAGTCTTGTCAAGCAGAGATTTTGATATTTCAGTTGAATTGAGGGAAATCAATCCTGTTATTTGGACAGTTCTCTTGATTTATTTCTTTTATATTTGCAGGATGCACAATCTTTACATGGTGATATTCCCCAAAAGCAGAGAGAGGTCACTTTGAAAGGCTTTCGTAATGGAGCGTTTGAAGTACTGGTTGCAACTAATGTGGCTGCCCGTGGCTTAGATATTCCAGAGGTTGATCTGGTAATACAGAGTTCCCCACCAAAGGTAAAATAACTGGTTTTGGGCAGAGGGAAAGGTTATTTGTACCAAAAGTGCTATTTAATGTTGCTTAGTTAAAGTGACACAGAAAAATTATTAAAGCTTGCTTCAAAGAGGACTTGGGATCCTCATTTGAGTTGCTTTGCCTTTTCTGCTAGAAAACACAGCACAGCTGAAGTGAGAAAGTTGGAAAATTATTTTTATTTCTTCAAAAATAGTATTTTATTCTTTCTCTTAGACTACAAGGGACGCGGTGGCTCAGTGGCTAAGACGCTGAGCTTGTTGATCAGAAAGGTTGGCAGTTTGGCGGTTCGAATCCCTAGCACCGCATAATGGAGTGAGCTCCCGTTACTTTTCCCAGCTTCTGCCAACGTAGCAGTTCAAAAGCATGTAAAACTGCAAGTAGAAAAATAGGGACCACTTTGGTGGGAAGGGAACAGTGTTCTGTGTGCCTTTGGCGTTGAGTCATGCCGGCCACATGACCACGGAGACGTCTTCAGACAGCACTGCTCTTTGGCTTTGTAACGGAGATGAGCACCGCCCCCTAGAGTCGGAAATGACTAGCACATATGCGTGAGGGGATCCTTTACCTTTACATTTAGACTGCTAGCTAAAATTTGCTACCCTGTCTTATGTTGGGGTGTGAGGGTGGGCCAAATTCCAAATGTTTTATAAGGATTCCAAAATGGCTATTATTCCAGGCACATCCATGAATACTTTGTAATTCTTTATGAATGCTACCTATAATGGTGTAAGTTCATTCAAATATCATCTAGCTGTTCAAGTTATTTCTAAGTAGATTTTTTTTTAATCTAATAATTTTAACATTCTTAAAATTCATTGAATTCTCACTATAAATGTCACACAATGGTAATATAAATAATTTCCTATTGAAGCAATTCATAGTTTACACAAAGATAGCTTCGTTTCACCTTTCTGCTGTTATTAATAGTGTATTTTAAAGAGTATACCATTCTGTGGTATATTTTCTGCAACATGCATATCATTTGAATGTTTCTTCGTAAAGGATGTAGAGTCTTACATTCACCGCTCTGGACGCACAGGCCGAGCTGGACGGACTGGAATTTGTATCTGTTTTTATCAACGCAGGGAAGACTATCAGCTGAAACAAGTAGAACAAAAAGCGGTAATTATTTCTGAATTTCTTAGTGGAAGTTGTGGACATCTCCCTCCATTATAATTTTTTTAAAAGCCATATCAGTTTTTTAAGTGCTTATCATTTCAACTAAAGTGTTTAGGACTAGTTTTCTGACCAACTTTTGTCAGTGAAACTGTGTGCCTTCTATTTTCAGGGCATCACATTTAAACGTATAGGTGTTCCTACAGCAACAGACATAATTAAAGCTTCCAGTAAAGATGCAATCAGGTATGTTAATCCTAAATATTAAAAGTATCTGAAATGAGATAAGCAGCTTCGACAGAAGCCCTATTCCTTTTTTCCCCATGTGTGTATTACAGATGCTGCTACCACTGTACATTAGTTTCTGTTTGAACGTTTCATAAATGGTTCATTGTTCGTTTTAGAGGTTTTGTAAATACTTATTCTTAAAAATGTTTCATTCAGATCTTTGGATTCTGTTCCTCCATCTGCCATTGACTACTTCAGACAATCTGCTGAACAGCTAATAGAAGAAAAGGGGGCCGTGGAAGCGTTGGCTGCAGCCCTGGCTCATATTTCGGGGGCTACTTCTATTGAACAGCGCTCTTTGCTCAACTCTGATGCGGTAATAAATACATGGAGTTTAATAGTTACTTACGCACATCCTGATTTTTCCTCATGCAATATGTGTAACCTGAGGTACACGTAGTTTTTAATCTCAATTAAGAAAATACAAACAGTTTCTCCTTTGGCAGTGATTTCCCCACTGGTGTTTTTGAATATCTAGGTCAAGGGTCTTCAAACTTGCCACGTTTAAGACTTGTGGACTTCAATTCCCAGAAATTCTGAGGTAATATGACTGGAGGAGGAATTCTGGAAGTCCCCAAGTCTTAAAGCTATCAAGTTTGAAGACCCCTGATCTAGGTGAATACCAACACCTTTCAGGATTTGACTGGCCAATCTTCCTGGGTATAGAAAATTAGTACATGGTTGGGTACTGAGGAGAGTAAGGAAGATGACCTTGATGGCAATTGGCAGGATGCTACCAGGGCATGGATTATTCCAATCTATCCAAGTATAACTGGTAACTAGTAAATTGGTGTAAAGTAGTAAAAAGTGTTGCATCTCCAAAGTTAAGTAAACGTTCCTAGAATTATTTAATATTTCCTACAATGAAGGCATTTAAATACATTTAGTCTTACAAGGTAAGAAATTGAAATGTAAGCTTAGCTCTCATGTAAACTTGTCTTGATGGAATTACCCTTATTTTTTTAAAAATGAGCAAAAATGTTTTCTTTGCAAAACATGGGGTAAAATAAGATAGTTAATCAGTTATTAATGATACTTTAGAAACTTTTTTAAAAACTACAAGGAATGTACCAAAACAACTGAATGGCAATATATTGAGTTAAAACTTCATATGTTTTCTGTTTGGTCCAAATGCCTTCCTTACCTCTAAAACATGTGATTTTGAATATATTTCGAAGAGATTTTAAGAAATTACAAAAATAAATATGAATATTGTAGAAGAAATTTACAATTAAGGCTTGGAGTTTCCTTTATTACAAATCAATGGCTCAATACTTCTCAAGAAGTATTAAATGTGTTCCATGAAGTATAACCAGTGTCAGTTAAAAATAGTTGACTATTATCCTTAATGCTGTTGATGAATACACTCAAGGATACATTAATACATTAGTCATGTCCAAATGTGTAATTATATAATTAGACAACCATTTGCCTGAGATAATATAAGGTCTATTGTCTTAAGCAAGTGGGGTGGGGGTAGACTCCCAAGTTCCTTCCAGCCCTATTTCTATGTTATATGTATTTCCTCTTTTGGTTGGTTATTATGCTGCCCACTGGCCTGCTGTTATCCCATTTTTCAATTGTTCACCCTCACTGAAAAAATTGTTAACTAGATCTCTCAGCATTCTTTAATCAGTAATAGCTTTAGTGGTTTGTGTGTTTGTGTATACGCTAATAATTGCACTCTGTATCATAAATGTATATCACTGATATTTTTTTTTAAACAAAGGGTTATGTGACCATGGTACTTCAGTGCTCGGTAGAAATGCATGCCACTGGTTATGCTTGGCGGGGTCTGAAAGAACAATTGGGTGAGGACATTGACAACAAAATATCCAGAATGTGTTTTCTCAAAGGAAAAATGGTAAGAACCTTTTTTCCCCCTGCCTATACGGTTTATATAGGTGTTACTTGAAAATTTTCTTCTCGTAATTGCTTCCTTTCCTGACTAATCTGGTAATGAGTAAAGCTTAAGTCAGGGGTATAGTGTTGATACGGTATTGGGGAAGATTTGTATTGCTAGATAATTTTATTCAGAAGAGAGTTTTGGACTTAAATAGAAGAAACCTGGATTTGAATGATTGTTTATAATTTATGAATAAATTACAATTCAGGACTCCTGTGTGGGTCAACTATTATAGCTAGGACAGTAAATTAAATTAGGTGTTCTTGACTAATCTGTTGCTTGAAACATGTATATTAATGCAAGTATCCTGCTCCTTAAAGAGTTCTGAATTTCTTCAATGACTGATATTCTGTCTCTTTCTTGTGTTAAGGGTGTATGTTTTGATATTCCAAAAGCTGAATTAAATAAAATAAAGGTAAGATTTTATTTTCCAATGTGAATCAATCTTGAGTAGCTCATGCCATTGGATGCCCTTCAGTTGTCATTTATAATCAGATGATCTTAAATTTATTTACTTGTATGCTTGTTTCACAGTCCATTATTGCAAAAGACTTTATAAAATGCCAGAGTGAACTTAAAGTATGTACAGGTAGTCCCTGCTTAACAACCCTAATTAGAGCCAGAATTTTCACTGCTAAGTGATGCAGTCATTAGGTGAAACGCCATGCAATGGCAGTTTTAGTGGTCCTGGTTGCATTCATTAAGCAAGGACCTCATGCTTCTCCTGACCTGCTACACTTGCCTCCACTTCATGTCAAATCAAATCTTAATCACTGTCAAAGATCTGTATAAGGAGGAGGATGGGATACAGTCATTTAAAAAGAATAGAAGCAAAGAAGTTACATCAGAGTCTTAAAAATGATGAAAAACTAGAAGATACTAAACAAAGTATACATAAAAGTCTATAAGAATCTAGAAGAAGAGCCTTAGATGGGTGTAGGGTAGCATAAAAGATTAGTATGTGGAAGACTATATCAGATTACAGAGCATTCTAATAGATAGTCATGAAGTCTAGTTTATGGCACAGCCCATCATCCAATCAAATTGGAGCACTGCTGAATAGAGTCCGGCTACATTATATGTTGTAGCAGGGTTGAAAGCAGCAGGGAGATGTAAAATTGTCCAATATGTCCTGGGTATTTATGCTTCAATTGTGAGATAAGGTTAATATAAATGTCTTTGTAGCACAGACAGTGGAAGACCACATGCTTTGTTGCTTCTTGAGGTCCAGAGTCACAAGGGCATTGTCTGTCTTTATCAGCCTTCAAGGACAGGTGAGATGGGGGCATGTCATTTTGCCCAATAAAGGCCCTTGGTGATTGGGGATTTTGAGGTTAGTTAGATAGGGAAGGCAGACTGCCTGTTGGATTCACTGGCAGTAAATCTTGGATCCTGGCTAGATCCAGTTGATACGCTGAGTCTGTGTCATGCTGTTTAATGAGTGCTTTGGTCTGATTGTTCCGTATTCATGTTGAGTAGAAGAGCTGGACAGAAACCCAAAAATGAAATTTTAGTTGCTAGTTCTTGTTTCCATGTGGATTTCTATCACTCATAGTTAACAGGGAAAGGCCAAGGGGTAAAAAGGATAGTCTGAGTCAGTAATTGCGAATGGTCACCTACACTCGAGCCTTCACTTTCATGAAGCCTGTTTCTGATCACATAATTGGAGAAAGGGCTCAACTGGCCACCATAAAGAAGTTGTTATATTGTCTTGGCTTTAAATAATTTGAGTGCTATAGGCATATAGTGGCCACGTCTTATCTTAAGGATTTTAAAAGAGGGCAGCCCAACTCCTTTACGTTTTCAGCACCATAGTTAGTCCCTATGAGTTTTCCTACTGCCAGTAGAATGAAGGTCTGATCGTGTTGCAGAGGCTAATAAGCCTATCATTAGTAAGATCACCTTTCCCCCCTTTTTATATATAGGATCAGTAATTGCAAACCTCCCAATCTTTGGAGACTCAGCCATAAGTGTCAATGCAAGTATAGAGTGAGGCCAGAGAAGTCCATGTTGTTTTTAATGGCCTCTGGAAGGATTTAGGTCTCTTCCTGGGCCTTCCCCAGTCTTAGCTGAGCCACAAGGTTTTTGATCTTTGTCACTGGTGATACATAAACCTGGTAAGTGATAGTAAGAGATTAGACAGCATTAACATAGTCCTTGTCAAACCATGGCTTGGAGTGGTGCTGTCGTTGCCTCATTGGCACTGTTATTACTGGTTAGCTGGTGGAGCTCTTGGGTAAGAGTGTTATAATTCTCCAACAATGCCTCAGGAGGCTCAGCTGATATTGGCCGACTAGAGGCAATCTGAGGCCGATAGCTCAGCTATCATTTAATTTGGAGGTGGATACACTTGAGTTGGTAATAAATTCTTCCTGTTGGCATTAGGAAAGGGTGCGCAGCAGTCCTCAGTATGGGTCTCTTGCATGAAGACTTGTGACTATTGAGGGACGATTGTGGAATTGAGAGATGATTGCGGTCAAATTAGACAACTTCTAAAGTCTTGACATAAATAAGGAGGACCTTAAGAGACAATTATATAGTCAGTAGCAGTCATTCTGAGCCAGATCAGTAGGTGAATTCAGCTCGGTGGTCACTTTCAAGGGCACCCTTTAAAATGTAGAGCTTTACCCTGAAGGCTGTCTAACATGGAAGTCTAACGTTGAAGTCCTCTCTCAGGTCTGCAAATTTGGATTCAACAATACTATATATAAAGTCAGCAGCACAAGTTTCCAGTTCAGCCTATGAGAGAATCTGATGTTGGTTTTTTTTGCCCCATTGGGGGCATATAACTATTTATTACCAATAGGGCCATTGTGATTGAATTGAATTAACACTGGCTGTGGCATACAATATTAATGGGAGGAAGGGACGATATAGCATATCGAGTAGTGGACTCTTGGATCCCCAAGACCCCTTTCACTGTTCCATACTGTACCCCTAGTTCTCCAATTGAAAATGTAGTCCATTAAGTAGCAGTTTGCCAGTTATGTCATTTTTCCTAAATTACAATGATGTCATGGCGTAAGTCCCTCTGCTTCAATTCCCCCCACCCACCTACTTCCCCCCTCTGCCTATTTACCCACTCCGCACTGTGTCCTGCACTTCAGTGCCCCTTCCGTCTGCCCCCAGATGACCCTTGCCATCTTCCTCCCACGGCTGATGAGTCATCCATGGTCTGGCTTCTTCACAAGGCAGTTGCTGGCCATGAGATGCCTTCCCAAGCCTGGGCTCTACAAAATTCCTCTTATCACCTCAGGGATGAAGTTTCATCCAGGTAGTTTAAACCTTTGGTATTTTTTCTAGACAGCTGAATAGGAGATAGGAGTAAACTGGAATGTCAGTTGATCGACACCAGGAGTGTCAAACTGGATTTCTTTGAGGACCGGATCAGCATTGTGCTGGCCGGCAGGGTTGCCTCCTGCAGCACCTTGCTAGCCAAAATGAGGTGGGGGGGGCACCCGTGGCTCCCCGCACCCCATTTTGGCTGCCAGAGGCACCACAGGCCAGTCCTTTGCTATTTCCAGGCCAGCCCCTCGAGCCAAGTTTGACCCCCCTGATCTCTACACTGTAGTCACAGGCATGCATTGGAGGAGCAAAGAGCAAGTGATGAAAACTTCATGAGGATATCATAATGCACATTGTGTCACTCTGATGAAGCTCTGAAACTCATGATCTTAAACTTAGGCTGAGGATGTGCTGCTGCTGGTTGTACATCCTTTTTTAAAGAATGGATTCTTTCTTATTCAAGAGTTAAAGAAATTGCCTTTTCCTATTCTTGTTTTGTAAGAGTGCAAACTTAGGAAAGCAACCTTCATTTACACTATTTTCTCAGTGTTATCTTAAATACCAAGTTTTGAAATGCCCTGAAAGCATTGTTCTGAAAGAAGGCAAAAGAGCTCTTGAATTTCAGGTACAAAAAGTAGTTTGTGATCATTCATATGTGTCTCTGGTGAAGCTTAAGCATTTTTAATTGCTGTTTAGTAGTAAACGTTGGTCAGCTTTGTCAATTCTGCTCTTCCTATAGAATAATACATGCTTTCTTTTAATTAGGAAACATGGCAAGATACAAGACGCTGGCAACTTTCTGTAGCAACAGAATTGCCTGAGCTTGAAAATACACCACGCGAGGGAGGCCGAAATTCAGGCTCGGACTTCAGGAATGGAAGACGAAACGGTGGTTTCAACAGGCCTGATCGATTCAGAAATAGGGGCCAGAAACGGAGCTATAACCAAGCTTTTTGATAATTTGTTAATTTATCAAAATGGGACTCGAACCTCTTGTTTTACCATAAGTAAAATTAATTTACACTTTATTTATTAGCCTGGTAATTTGTGTTTTAATTACTAGCCTGAATGTGTCTCATTCATTCAATTTGGGCTACAAAAATTCAGGTTGAAAAGATTATTTGAGCACAAGGAGTGCTACACTATCATAATTAGTTGCAGTGCCCCAATATCTTGGGCACAAGTAAATCTCCAGCCTTTGGTTGGTAGCACATTAGAAATTTTGAGAATATGTTGTGGATGCTCCCTGTGGCTTTTTCCCCTCTGCCCCATTTTCTGTATTTTACTTTTATTTTTTCCAGACCAATGAGAATTTGTAATGAAATGGTGATCTACACAGTCATCCATTCTTCTTGCTTTTTAAGAAAGCTTTTGAAGATCATTTCATATTGAATTTCCAAATTGAGATTTATTCATTCAGTTGGCTTCCCTTTTTAAAAATACTGTTATTCAGTTAAATCAGAGCCATGAGTCTGGAAGTTGGTTAGATATTAAATAAATTAACCTCAATGACATATGACAGAAGTAGGACAAAAGGCAACTGAATATCATTCTAAAAACATTTTTACAAAAGCCTATGTATCTGGAAGATGCATTCAATAATTTTTTGGCATATGCCCTAACATGGATGAAGGAGAACACTCAGTATTCAAGTTAAATTGAAATTGCAGAAGTTGAAGTTGTGTTATTGTTTTATTTTTACTATAATACATTCCTTTACTGGTAAATATTGACTATTTTAAAAGATGTTCTTTGACTTTTTTCAGGTGATCTTTAAAGGATTAAATAGAATTTGTACTTTATTTGGGAATCCTGCAGATCTCTTTCTAGTACATTGTGTATAGCACGCTGCTCAGAAAAGCCAATCCCCGACTCACACGATTCCTCTTAAAAGTTTTTGATAATAGAACGCGGTTCACCATTAAAAAAAAACCCCAGGAAACACTGGTCTAATTAAAATTATCTTCATGTAAATGGTTGGATTAGAGTAGATTTGATTAATTCCCTGGGTGATATGCTTAAGTAAGGTAAACTTTTTTAATACTGTGCATAGTGTAAGGCAGTGATCCCCAACCTTTTTTATGCCGCGGCCCGGTACCGGCATCAGCTGGGCGCCGCGGCCCGGTACCGGCATCAGCTGGCCGCCGCCATCTTTTTTTGATGAAAAAGTGCTTCCGGTGAGCTTTCTACCCGGAAAAGCTCACCGGAAGCACTTTTTCATCAAAAAAAGATGGCGGCGCCCAGCAACCAACGGACCGGTAGGACTTGTTCCGCGGACCGGTGGTTGGGGACCCCTGGTGTAAGGACAGTAACAGAATGATTCTTTTCTTGCCCATAATAGTGTTCTGAAAGGAAGAAAATGTAGGGGAACTCCCCATGTAATGGATTTGGAGATAAAGTGCTTGCAAGCTCTATTTATGTCTCCTACGACAGTGGTCGCCAACTGCTGGGCTGGAAGAAAATTTTGGTGATCCGCAGAGAAATATCCTCCCCAAAGCACCCCCCCAAAAGCAATTAATCCAGGCTGCGCGGGAACACAATGCTGCGCCTCCCACATGGCCCGCCCACCTGCTGGCCCCCACCCTTTAGCCGAGTGCAAATCTTACCTCGAGTACAGCCATGCAAGCTGGAACTGGAAGGTAAGACCAACAGCAGGGGAGGGAAATCCTCCCCAGGGTGTGGCTTGCTGACGTTGATGGGAAAGTTGGTCCCATATTCCAGAGCTGCAGTAGTCACAGGACTGGCCCTTTGGTCATCCCGGAGCAGCTCTTCCAGTCCATGGCAGGCTGGTGCACCTGGGTGGAGGAGCAGCTGCTCCGGGACGACCAAAGGGCCAGTCTTGTGACTACTGCAGCTCTGGAATATGGGACCAGCCTGTGGTGGGGTTGGAAATCTCCGCCCTAGCGGGTGGCACGTGTAATGTGCAAATTTGCAGGTGGTGCAACGTGCAAAAAGCAGCACAGCCCTCACCGGCCATGATTAGTGGTCCGCAGGACTTAAAATTATGAGTTTGGTGGTCCCTGAGGTCCAAAAGGTTGGTGACCCTGTCCTACGGTATTCAAACTTGTGGGCACAATTCTTTCTAGTTACTGAGCTGTTGAAGTTTAGTCTAAGAACAAACTAGATCTTGCAAGCCTGGAGTTGACTTGTTTTACAGAAGTAAGATTTTAAGGTTAATCCCCTGAAATCATAAATTGTCATCTTGATCTTTTTCTGCCATTTAAGATTGTTTTACAAAGCTTTTTTAAAAAAAAGATTTGTAGCATGTGTTCTGGATACGTCACAATTGGACCAGCTCTGGTCATGATGGCATACATGGAATGCTAAGCTGCCCCTATTTGGAAATCCTCAATATGGACATGGACATAACCAAGGTAGATGGGTAGGAGAGTCCACTATTGTCACGGAGGCAAGCTTGGGAAGGCAGACTTACGCAATGGAATATATAGTAACTCAAAGCACATACAAAAGTCTCAAAATGCCAGATTATCTGATGGTGCTAAACTGGCTGGTGAGATTTCTGGCAGTCAGTCCATCAAGTTGTTAAGAAACACTGTTCTATACCATTTTTTTTTCAACTTCAGCCACTTTCTGATGCGCAGACTTGGGCTGCTCCTCCCCCATGTACAGCAAGAGTTCTATGGGTGTTTATTCAAAAAAAACCCAAACTGGTCCTAACATTGCACAGGTCCAGATTCCAAGCTCAGCAGGGCAAGAGTCCCTGCATGAACCAAGTCCCAACAGGCACCCACAAAGCAGTCCAGGAGTCAAAACAGGTCAGGATACATGGCACAAGCACACAAGGCACAGAACTGGGCACATTGCTCCAGCAACACTCAAGTCCTCAGGGCGGAATTAAGTAGGGACCCCGCGCAGCCCTTCATGAGAGGTGAAGTTGCCTACTCACGAGTAGTCTAGCTGACCTGCATTGTGTCTGCATGCTCTAAGTCAGGGGTTTCCAACCTTGGCCACTTTTAAGACTTGTGGACTTCAATTCCCAGAATTCCTCAGCCAGCTTTGCTGGCTGAGGAATTCTGGGAGCTGAAGTCCACAAGTCTTAAAAGTGGCCAAGGTTAGAGACCAAGTGACTTTGATCAGAAGAAGCTGTGGACTCCACCTCATTGCAAAAGGGCGGGCAGCTGCTCCCAGTCCTAACCTGGAGCCTCCTGGCTTTGCTGGCTGGGGAATTGTGGGAGTTGAAGTCCTCCAGGCTTAAGGTTGGAGACCCCTGTTGTAGATGAGACGAAGGTGCTTCTCTCGTTAGAATCCGAGGTTGCCCAGCGACCGTTGCCACGAGCAACCCCCTCCCCCCCCACCGCGGCGGAGCTTCCATTTTGACTGAGGGAAGACAGCCGCGTGAGAGAACGTTGCGTCTCTCTCGGCGCATGCGGACTATTGAAGAGAGCGCCGAGCGGGAGGAGGAGGAGGGGGGAGGGGTCCAGCGACGCCCGCCGAGGAGCAGCTTGCGAGCGGCGTCCCTCGGAGAAAGCAGCGCCGAGCGGGCAAATGGCGGCGGCGGCGGCGGCGGCCGAGTGGGCCTCGCTCTGCGCCACTTTCCGCAGCGCCCTCAACCTCTCCTACGTGGAGTCCAAGAAGGACCCGGACACCGAGCCCTACCGCTCCAAGTATAGCGCGCGGGAGCTGCTCGAAGGCCTCAAGCAGCTGCTCGGCGCCGGGGAGGCCGAAGTAGCCCGCGGCCCTGGCGAGGAAGAGGAGGCGTCGTCGTCCGAGGGCGAGCAGCAGCGGCGGCGGCGGCGACGCGCGTTGCGGCTGGCCGTGGTCGAATACGAGCTGGGCGTGAACCACACCGACACCCAGGAGTGCTCTGCCGGCGAGGAGCACCTGGCGAAGTGCCTGCAGCTGCTGGAGCGGCACCGCCTCTCCCGCGACTGCGTCTCCCTCTACATCCAGGCCCAGGTGCAGGGCGCCCCTATACCCACCTATCCCCCTCAGCAGGAGCCTGCCTCGCCCGTCGGAAGCGGATGGGAGCGCCGCCCGGCGCACCTGGGGAAGGCCGCCAAGGCATCGGCAGCACGGGGGGCGGGGGGAGAAGAGGCAGGCGGGCATAGGACAAAGCTGGGCGGCGTTGCTTCGTTTGGGATCAGGGGGGTCATCCTCAAACTTGACAGCTTTAAAGACTTTTGTGGACTTCAGCTCCCAGAATTCCTCCTCTGGTCATATTAAGCTCAGGGATTCTGGGAGTTGAAGTCCGCAAAAGTCTTTAAAGCTGTCAAGTTTGAAGACCTTTGGTTTGGGAAGGGAAAAAAGGGGGTGCTAGGATGGGAAGGGTGGAATCTGTCATCGGAGCAGAGCATCCAATATATCAGGGCCCCCCAAAACTTGGCAACTTTAAGGCTTGTGGACTTCAACTTCCAGAAGGCTGGAGAATTCTGGGAGTTGAAGTCCACAGGTCTTAAAGTTGCCAAGTTTGGAGACACCTTCTACCATATACAGTAAGACGGGTTGAAGGTGTTATATTCTGCAAGCTTTTCCCTTTTAGCCAGCCAGCTCGGATCCAGGAATTCGGGCTGCTTTTCCGTGAATGGACTAACTTCCAGAATTTCCCCCAATGAGTTGAGTTTTTGAAGTCCGGAGGAGTGTGCCATATCGAGGACGCTGGGTTGGCCCTTATGCGTTTGTGTGTGTAGTTTCTAGGACTTAAAAAAAAATAACTTCAGTTGACAAAAGGCTGTGCTGGACAGTGAAAGTTTGGAGAGTTGAGTAATAATAAGACTTGAGTCTGTATGAGCCTGGTCATGGCAGAATATTGCAATCTGGATGGTGTTTCAGTGTTGACAGGTTGATCATTTTCACCGTTTGGTGATCTGTTGCAAGCTTTGATCAGACTGCAGTATTACCTGATCGATTCCTCAAAGAGCTTTGGAATTTGCTAATGAGAGACCCAGTGAAAGGAGTTGGCTCCTTTGCATCTTTCACAAGTCAGAATAAGAATGTTACCATTTAGAATGATTTCCCCCCTATTTCATACTGGAAGCCTGCAAAAGAAATAACTATTTTAGGCAATACAAGAATTGGATGGAGTTGGGTGGGGGAATGGTAACAGTCTAGTGCAGAAGTCTCCAAACTTGGCAACTTTAAGACTTGTGGACTTCAACTTCCAGAATTCTCCAGCCAGCATAGCATAGAGTTGAAGTCCACAAGTGTTAAAGTTGCCAAGTTTGGGGACCCCTGGACTAGTGTGCTGTGTCTCTGTTGTCATTAATTCTGTGTTTGTGTTAGTCATCAAGGAAATTCAGCTGTTCTATCTAGCATATCGGCAGTAGACTGGCACCATACATATTGCTCTGTTGGAAGCAAGCATCATTTCTATCCACAGTTTAGGAATATCCTGTGCTGTTGAAGTCAAGAGTTGAATGCCTGTTCAGTTATTCATTGGATCACTCTGGGCAGTCAGGAATTTTATGCATTACATTATTAAAAATTCCTTTATTTTGGTATTTCCTGCCAAATAACATTGAGCAATAGGAGCCATTGTTAGTAACGTCCTGTTTAAATTATGAGTCCAGCTACCCAATATTTTCTTTAAA